TTAAAGGTATAATAAAGTAGCATGAGTTGAAAGTTCAAGTCCAAGTACCTCAGATTTGTATTTAATTGCAGTACTTGAGTAAATGTAGTTAAATTCCACCACTGATTTCCACACAAAGAAATAGTCCATGAGGTAAACATATTCAATAAACGCAGGTGTGACTGATTGAATAGGTTTGATTCTGGATTATAAATGTTGGGTGGCAACCCTAACCAAATCTATCCAACTGCAGCCACAAATGGGCATTCTCATCTCAGATGTGGCGACCTGATGCTTCTCACTGTATTCCAATTATTTGAATTTATTTTTAATGTTATGTTTAATTTTAATTTTATGACTATTGGTTGGATAAACCAAACAATCAGTTGATTAATCCATAAGGACAATAATAATTAGTTGCAGTCCTATACAAAATAGTTAATTAGTTCACTCCTCCTCAACCAACTAAGAGTATGAGTCATAATAATAATAATAACTCTAATTATATAAAATTGCAATAGTATAACATTGAGCGCTTTTACTTTTCATACTTTAAGTACATTTTCCTGATTATACATACTTTGACATATGAAACATTTTCAATGCAGTGCGTTGTACTGGTGGAACTGCCTTCATTCTGCAAAGTGCAACTTTATTTAAACATTTATCTTCACTGGGCTGTGTATTAAGTGGCATTTACTATTTGCATTTTTTCCCTACATTTAATTAAAAAGTTATTTTACTAACACACACACACACACACACACACACTACCACTGCATGTTTGCATTGTGGCATCAAGCAAATTTGATGTGGTTTTAGGAGGATCAACGGTTAACTGTCAGTATTCAAATTTAAGGCAGCACCCATGCAAAAGAAGAGAAAAAAGAAAGTGTGTGTGGTGTTGCCAGTAACACTACAGATGGATACAGGGAGGTCAAACATCCTTGGCTCTGAACAACCTACTTGTGTGCATAAAGAACTTTCATGCAGATTGATTTTGGATAAATAATTAAATAACGCTCTACCATCAAAATAAAAAAAAGATGTTGCGTATTATAAAGAAAAGGTGGGTTCAGTGTTATCTTTATCATTTCTAGTGGACAATGCATCAAGTCCTCTAATAGGAACATACAAGTCTGAAGTGCATCATGACCTTAACAGGAAGCATATATATATATATATATATATAATGATCTCTACAGACTCACAGGGACTGAAGGGAGTTTATTGTGACCTTGTTGTAGGCTACAGAGTACAGTCTCATATGAATAGTCATTCGTGTGCTCTATGAACAATCTAACAAACAAGAGCCTGTGGTATCTTTACCTATCTCGATGGGGTTGATTCAACGGCGGGAATCCATTTCTCCACAGCAGGCTGGCTGCGGACTGTGAGCCGGTGTGTGGAGCAGCGGGAGGCGGCAGAAGCACCAGGGAAGTCTCGCCTCGGGTCAGTCCGGGTTCCACCTCCGCAGCTGCGGCAGGGAAGCGAGCGAGTACCGCGGGCTGGTCTGGAGTCTGCCGGAGGGAAGCGAAGCCGCAGTTTGACCTTCCCAACGCCGTCCGGAGATTGTGACAGGAGTTGTAACGTCCACCTCAAGGGCGCAAGTTAGGTGGTGGTAGATGGGGGGGGGGACTGAGTGTGGGACTGAGCCGTTAATATATGGGGCTGTTGTTGAGGATCATTTCCTTATCTGGCTTTAAAGCAGCATCTCATTTACCTGCAGTGGTTCAGGAGACAGACAGGGAGAGGCAGCAGCACCCTAAATAAACTGAAGAGGTTCAGCCCCCCCGCCCCTTTTTTTTGATAACACAAAACCACTCCTTGATACACATGAAGTGTGTGTTTTGAGTTGAACCCAAACTTATAAATGAACAGAAATGATTAGAATGATGTCTATATTCTTACTGCCACTTTATGTGCACCATAATTAAGATATTTAGATGGTTAACATCAAGGTTTATTTCACACATATGCCAATTGTGTCATTTCACTCCATTAGCCTATATTCACACATGCGTTCACCCAGTCTTGTAAAGGTACAAAGGTAATTAGTAAGTAAAGAGATATGAGCCCTAATTTGCAAACATTACTGACGGGGAATTCCCACACCTGCAGATGTTGAGGAAACTGGTCATTCTGTCGGGCCCCTACAGGAATGTGCACCCTGTGAGCACGATAAAGGTGATCATTAATATGCTAGGACTACATTTTGACACTGGGTCCTTCAAGAACGAGAACGGCACGAGACTGGGTAATAATGCAGGACTCACCTCAGTTGATATTAGGAATTAGTTAAATTACCAAACATGCACTGAAGCATTATGGTAGAGCTGGACTTGCTGGTGTCTATCACTGTCTATGTCTCTAGTTGCCTCTAGATGCCACTAAATGCTCCACACTGGAACCATTAACACAGATACATAGAACTTATTGATTACAGGAAAACACACCCGCAAACATCTTCTCCACACACCTGGCATTCAGTTTCCAGATACATTAAAGGCCTGTAATCAGCTACCTATGGTACACAGGGCAAACAATGACACCATCTCATTTAAAAGTTTTTATTTGAAATGATTTTAAATACAAATAATATATTTTTCCATTTACAATGACAGTTCCTTTGTAAACAAAAGTGGCAGATAGTCATTGGGTAGTTTGTCCAAACTGAGGCGGCCTGCCGGCCAATCGCCTGGACATGGTCTGTCATGGGAGAGATGGTGTCGTATTTAACCTCACTGCAGTTTTTTTTTTCCACACAGCGTAAATCACTGATGCTACATTCTATTGCAGAGCGATAAATACTCAGAGTACAATATTACCTGTTAGCATACACCTGCCTTGAACACAATTACAGGAGGGTAGAGTGCACGTGTGACAGTTTGTGTGAGTGTATGTGTGTGTATGTGGTGATCGGGAGAGTGCGCCTACAGATATTCATACCTTTATCTCTCCCACACCAACACGACACACTGGTATATACCATTAAAATTAACTGTTGAGTGTGGATATTTATGGTAAAGGCTGAGTCATTACTTTTAAAAACTGCCAAGTCGTCAACATACAGTGAGAGCCCGCAGAACTACACAAGGAAGCTCTGATTTTCTTTAGTTTTTTTTTGCACTCATGAGTCTAACAGATGTAAAAACGAAAGGTTAGAATGGAACAAAACAGACGAAGACGTATGCGTTACATTTGTTATAACTACAGTTTAACTGGGACAAAGAAACCCCAACTAATTTAAATGAAAGGGGGTTCTCTTGGTTGGCCAGAACTGCTCTGTGTTCCTCTGTAAGAACAAAAACAAAACAAAAAATCCTCCAGATTTGATGGAAAAAACAACACTTTCCATCTGAAATGGCAGTTGTACTTACAAAACTAAGCTTGTTCTGCTTTAATGACCAAGAAAAAGAAAAAAGTGCTGGACAGAATATGCTTAGTCTTACACAGAAAAGTTACTTTCAACAGCTTTTTGTTCGAGACACTTTTCAAGACATGAGTGCTGTGTGTCGGGGACCTCATACTAACACAGGGCCAGTCACATGTCACGTACAACTGCTAATCCTTTTTCAGCATACAAAACCGTACTTCTTAGAGGCTTTTTCATGGCAAAATCAGTGATATGTGTTCCAAGACTATAGGTTACTATGAAGAGACTAACTCTAAACTGAAACAAAAGAAAAACACTGTAGATCTTTACAAACAAAATAAACCTTTTTTTTTTTTTCTGCTCGCCCAAGAACTACTAGTGCAAGGACTTGTATGTTGTGTTATTTCAGTTGTATTCGTAAGGCCTTTTTGGACAGTAAGTATACACTGGAATGTGCTACAATTGTAAAACTAAAAAACAAAAAAAAGGATGAGGAGAAAGGAAGTCACTTCTCTGAAAAGCCACAAGTATGTATATATCTATTTATATATCAGTATCTGAGCCCCTTAAAAAGACTGAAAACGCACAACTTTATGTAGTATATGGACAAGAAAAGTACTCATAATTCAAACAAATCTTAACACTGCAAATTTTGTCATTTTCCCCCATTATACTTGAGGTCATAATTCATTTCAAAATCCACCTGCTTTCAACCGACAGTTGTCTCATTCAGAAAAATACAGCTCAACGTGGACCACAGGGGCAGAACAGAACATCATGAACAGAACCGACTTGAGATCATCTGTAGACGTCTCCTTCAACATACAGTGAGTACAGGTACATACAAGTGACTGGCTGGTGTGACAGCGGAAAAAACAGAAAAAAAAAAAAAAACGAACCTGACGAGACTCAACTGTGTCCCCGTGCGGCGTGTGCTGAAAAGGAGCAAACGTCCCACTGCTTGACTCGGATGTGACCCCCCGGTGAGCAGGGCTGAAGCTCACACTTCTGCAGTTTTCAGTGTACAATAGAAAGTATCATTGGTGCAGAAAACATTGGTGCCCGGGTGGTTTTCGGAGCGTGAGCGATGTCATGATTTCCAATACAGGAGGTCACGTGGGGTGGGGGGGGGTGGGGGTTGTTAATTTCGCAAAGGGAATTAGCTGTTATACATCCACCTCTCCCCCTCGAGAAAAGAAGAAAAAGAGCCCAGATAATAGGTCCTCCAGTCCACAGTGTGTCAATCTTTCATACCTGTACAAACACATACGAGGTTACAAACACGCACACCATTTGCCCACACACGCACACTCCCACATGCACATCCACTCACACACACGGGTCTGGATAAGTTATTCACAGAATTCTCTTCCGCCAGCAACGGAAAGTGAATGAACAAGTCTCTGTAGAAAAGAGGAATGGAGGGGCGGGGTCACAGTCCATGTCATTGTAGAGATAAAATGGAGGACGAAGAGGAGGAGGGCTCTCTGTGTGTATAAACTGTCCCTGGTGATTCTGTGTGTGTTTTGTGTGTGTGTG